CCTGCGGAAGTTTGCGCCGCGGCCACCTGCTGGTCTCGTTCCTCCCAGGCCGGTCCGCAGGGTCGGGTCATTCTGCCGGGTGGGTCCCAGCTCCGTGCAGGGCCCCCGCGGCTGCCTCCCACACCCCCGCTGCGCCACACTGAACCCCGGACTAGCCCCTCGGAGTGCTGCTGCGACCGAGCACAGTGGGTTCGCAGTGTCCGAGCCAAAGGAACACAAGTCCTGTTCGAAGACAACGTTTTTGCTTTTATTCGTGACAAGTAAAGGAGGCAGGGGGCTCATTCCCGAAGCTGTTCCTTGTATACTATTTTGTTAATTACATGTTGCTGTCGTCTTTGCAGTTGGTTAAACTTACCCCGTTGGGGTTCAGGTCAAACCCCTCTGCAAGATCCTGTGCGCGGTTCTAGCATAAAGTAGAAAAGCATAGTAGGATCCGCCCCGCCCTTGAGACACTTGTCCTCCCCAACACTCCCCTGTGACCCAAACCAGGAGGGGCTCCTTCTTCCAGCTCCTGGCACGGGCCTGCACTTGATCCACTCTCTCCATTCCTGGGGTCACCTCCCTGGTTGGGTGACCGTCACCTTCGATGTGGAATAGCACAGAAGGCGGTGTGGCCTCCATGGTCACTGGTGTGGTCTTCAAAAACTGGGACTTGGACCGGGGCAAACCTCTGCTTCAGACCGCCTGGGCCTCCCTGACGCCCTCTAGCCTCACTGGCCTGCAGCTCTGGATGTCGCCCTGGGGCCCCTCGCCAGGTTCCAGCCCAGGCGGTCCCTCCAAGGGCACTTCCCTGACCACCTGCTGAAGTCCCTCCCCCTCTCCCGCCACTGGGGTCTGCACACGCTCTGTAGTTATGTCCATCTTACAAGTGCCCGGCCTCTGGGCAGACCGAGGGCACTGGGGGCAGAGACCGTGCACACGGCTCTCCAGGGAGCACTCACATGTGGCGGTCGGTCAATGAACGAGTTGATAAGTGCGATGCCGGCAGCCCCTCTGTTCAGGACGCCTTGAACCCAAGGTGCCCTTGGAGCCCTGTTGTACTGCTGCAGCTTCTCTCCCTGACGCATGGGTCCTGTCCTCCCCTCCACCCGGCAAACACCTCCCCGGTGCTCACGGTGGCCTTCCCCCCCGCTTGGCGGGCGCCGGGGGCTCTCCTTCCTCTTCTCAGGGCTGGGCCACGTGGGTGCCCAGGAAGCGTCCCAGGGGATGCCCAGAGGGACCCGGGAGGGTCAGGGACCCTGCGGGGACTCCGCGCCACCTCTTTGCCCGGATGCCTCACTTAGCTCTTTCTGGAGTTGAGACTCTGTTTTCTTTCCAGTTTTCAAATTTGCTGGGGACGGTGTATCGGCGTGGCAACTTGAACTTTACGTGCGATGGAAATTCAGTCATCAGCCCCGTGGGAAATAGAATCACTGTGTTCGACCTTAAAAAGTGAGTATGCTGCAGCGGTGCTAACAGTCGCGAGCATTGTCGTTCGCTTGTAGAAATCCGGTGTTTTCTTCAGTTTCCTCTTACAGGACCCCATTAATTAAGGTCACAGGGTTCTGAGTCGGCGGGTCCGTAGTGGAGGTGGTTGTGGTGTCCCAGCCTCTGCCTCTAGTTCCTGAGCTAAAGCTCGTGTTGTCACTTTCAAGGCAGACGTCCCGGGTCACTCGCTAAGCTGTGGGCAGGGCACTGGGGGCGTGGAAGCACCCTGGACCCCGCTTGGTGGCGCAGTGCTCCACGCTCCGTTCCCAGTGTCCTGACCCAGCACCGGACACGCTCCTTTCTGAAGGAGGGGACTCCTGAACGGCCGTCACCCCCAGACCGCTGCGGCCTGTGGAGAGCCCCCTGTCGCAGAGGTTGCCTGGGCCCCTGCCCCTCTCTGCAGGCCTCACTGTCCCTAGGGCAGTGCCCAGGGCCAGCTGCTGGCGCGGTCGTTACTGTCTGTTGTTTAAACGACATCTGACAGGGGCTCTCTAGAGTAGCAATCAACGTTTGTTGAAGAAAATTTGGAAAGTAAAGAATGAAATCCGAATCTAACCCAATGGTTACTTGTTTTTCCATTTTGCACATTTTCCAATTTCTGTAAAACCAGTTTTTCGTCAACGTGCTGTCCTTGTGGTTAGTCCCTTCTGTCGGGCAGTTGGCGTGTTCCCCGGTGTCCAGCTTCACACGTCTGCAGAATCCTCTTGGGATGCGGGCCCAGAGGCAGAGCTGACGTCGCCAAAGCCCATTTCTGAGGTTTTGGGACGTCGTCTTAGTTCCCGTCCCTTCAGCAGGGATTGAGGATTAGTGATGAGCTCTGGCTCAGCGGTGCCACCAGACAGGAGGGGCGTGTCATGGTGGCACGCGGGCTGGTAGCCCAGCCTCCCTTCTGATGACACGAGGCCAACTGCATGGCTCTGGTTTTTTCTCTCAGCAACAAGTCCAACACTCTGCCCCTGGCCACTCGGTACAACGTCAAGTGTGTGGGGCTGTCCCCGGACGGCCGCCTCGCCATCATCGTCGATGAAGGTAACTGCTCTAGGCCAGGAGAGGAGACGGTGGCCCAGGGTGGTGACCGATGACATAGGTGGGAGGGGTGGGTGTGGGCGTCAGGTAGACGAGGCTGACCCCAGGTCCTGCTGGCGGTCTCGGCCCGCCCAGTCCTCCCCGCTGGGCGCGTCCTCATCTGGGGCCCTGGCGTGTGGGCGCGTGTGGGTGGGTGTGCCCGGGCCCTGCCCCTGCTCTGTGCCCCTGGCATCGGGGGGCTGGGCTTCCTGCGCGGGGGGCTCGCTTTGCGGAGTCCTGCTGCCCGTAGTGGAAGCGCGCAGAACCTCACTGCGTTGCAGCTGCGTGTCGGTGGCCGCGTGCTCGCTAATGTCGCTCCCTGCAGGGGGCGAGGCGCTGCTGGTCAGCCTGGTGTGCCGGTCCGTGCTCCACCGCTTCCACTTCAAGGGCTCCGTGCACAGCGTCTGCTTCTCCCCTGATGGCAGGTACGGGGCCCGGACAGGGCCAAGGCCCAGGGTGCCGCTCCGCAGGGTGGCACACAGGCGGCCCCTCCCCTCTCCTGCTCCAGGGCTGCTGTTCCAGCGGGCGTGGCCCTCCCGGGGCTGTGACGGAGCTCTGGGCTTCAGACTCACAGTGAGGAGCATGTTTTGTGGGCAGGTTCAAGGCCCCAGGGGAAGAGAGCTTGTTCCCAGGTTGGTCACCCCTCGCTGGCCCAGTTGTGCGTTGGAGGGGCGGCTCCAGGTGCTGGCCGTGAGCCCACCCCTGTCCCACTCAGAAACCCCCTAGAGCGGCATCCAGCGCCCCGGGGCGCTGTCATGCAGGGCCCACCTCTTCCTCTCGGTTGCACCCAGAGGGCTGTCTGAGCTTGTCCTGGCCTTGGTGACTGGCCGGTGGGGCCTCTGCTCTGCGCAGAGGTGTGGCGGGGCCCGCACGGTGTGTCCAGTTCTTCCCTGACTGTCCACCGGCCTCCTTTGGCCTGGATCCCTGTAGGAGAAGAAGGGACTCGGGGCGGATGAGAGGCAGGCCCCCAACTTTGCCTGTCGCAGGAAACTGGCCTCAGAGCAGATAGGCTGTCCTCCCAGAGGCCCCGGGCTGGCCTCAGGCCTCGCCGCTGTTTAGTATCAATGGCTCCCATTTCTGCCATAGGAAGTTTGTTGTCACGAAGGGCAACATCGCTCAGATGTACCACGCCCCTGGGAGGAAGCGAGAGTTCAACGCTTTCGTCCTGGACAAAACCTACTTTGGACCCTATGATGAGACCACGTGCATTGACTGGACAGATGACTCCCGGTGAGGCCAGGGATGGGCCGAAAGGGACACCTGTACCCAGCCACTTGTGGTGAAACGCAGGGTGACTGTTGTTGCACCCCGCAGTTTCTGCAGTGGCCTGTCCTGAGCCCCCTGGGGGCGGGATGCAGGGCGGGATGCAGGGCAGGCTCCCAGGGGTGGCGGGGGGGTGGGTGGGTTGGGTCCACACCACCTGCCATTGGCCACTGAAACCAGGGAGCAGAACCTGATCCCTGATGAACTCTGTCTCAGCGTGTGGGCCGAGTTCATGCCGCCAAGTCTGCGGAGCCGTGGTTGGCGTTGGTGGCTCCTCCCAGCCTGGGTGCCAGGATTGCCTGTCCTCTGAGGGCCAGCAGGCAGTGGTCAGCGGGACCGGGGGGTCTGTGGAGGAAAGGCGGGCTGCCCCAAGGCCAGGCCTCCCCCCTCTTCAGAGAGGCAGAGGCTGTTCCCAACGGGTTCTGTTTCTGCCATAAGCAGAGTTCGCTCTGATGGGGTCTCTGGTGGGTCGGGAAGGTGTGAGGAGCAGGCTCCCTAGGCAGCACCGAGGGCTCGCGGGTCAGTGCTCGGTGCTTCTCTGGCTGTCCCCTGCGAGAGACTGCTTTTTGAGGAAGGACAGTGACACACATCCACCAAGACTCCTGGTCCCAGGAGATGCACAGATGGATTCAGTCAGCACCCCTGACTGTCTCCACGTGTCACCCTGGAGTCTGCCCTGGGCTTGGGGCGGCACTGGCTGGGGGCCCCAGGGATGAGCTGTGTCCTTTCTGTCCAGGTGCTTTGCAGTGGGAAGCAAAGACATGTCCACGTGGGTGTTTGGGGCCGAGCGCTGGGACAACCTCATCTACTACGCACTAGGGGGACACAAGGACGCCGTGGTGGCCTGCTTCTTTGAATCCAGCAGCCTAGATGTACGTCCCTGCACCCAGGACCCCTGGAGTCACTGTGTCCTGAGTCACAGCCACAACTAGGGTGCTGGGCCCTCCCCCCAGGTCCTCGCGGGTCTGCTGGGGACTCGGCAGTGGCCGCGGGTTGCCCGTTGGGAGTCATCCCTCCCACTGCACAGGGGCAGGCTTCGGCGGAAGGAGCGTGGCTAAGACAGCGTTCCTGTCTCGGCCGCCTGTGCTCGGTGTGGGCTGCGGATCAGGGTGACCCACAGCCACCTGTGTGTGTCTCTCTGCAGTTATACACGCTCAGCCAGGACGGGGCCCTGTGTGTGTGGCAGTGTGACACCCCTCCGGAGGGCCTGAGGCTGAAACCCCCCAGGGGCTGGAAGGCAGACCTGCTGCGGAGGGAGGAGGAGGGGGACGAGGACGAGGAGGACGGGGCGCAGGAGACCACCATCCGAGGGGAAGCCGTGCCGGCCACGGAAGACCAGCAGGGCAAAGTGAAGTACTCTCGGCTGGCCAAGTAGGTCCCCACCCATCGGGATAAACTGGGGTGCTCCTGTGGGCTCTTGGGCCTCAGAGGGACCCGGGCCATCGGGTGAGGACCCAGAGGCACGGTGACCAGGCCGTTCCTCTGCAGGCTGGGGAGGCTTAGGAGGGCAGAGCCACGGGCACAAAGCAGCGGGGTGTCCGAGGGGCCGAGGGGCAGTGCGGTCAGGGCTGCCGCCTGCGTGGCCCATGGGTCCCGGGCGGGGCCATGTGACCAGCCTAGCCCTCTGGTCCTCCTTCCACAACTGCTCTTTCCCCTGTCAATGTAGGTACTTTTTCAATAAAGAAGGAGATTTTAACAACTTGACAGCTGCGGCGTATCACAAGAAGACCCACCTCTTGGTCACTGGTTTTGCTTCTGGAATCTTCCACCTCCACGAGCTCCCGGAGTTCAGCCTCATCCACTCCCTGAGGTGGGCGCCTCTGCTCTGGCGGCTGTGGTTTCCCGCGCGCGCGAGTCTGCCAGGCCGATGGCAGAGCGGGCAGAGGCCGTGCTGTGCCCGCCCGTACCGCTGGCCCTGGAGTCCGGGGTGGCCACACAGGCGGCCTCCTGAGACACCGGCCCTCATCTTCGTCCTGGCCAGGTGGCGAGGGATTGGAGGGAACTCAGGTGATGCTGTCCCAGTCCCCAGCTCAGACACACAGTCTCCTACCCTGGGCTTTGGCCCCATGTGTGGGGTCGTGTCATTTATTTTTTATTTTATTTCATTTTATTTTATATTTTACTTTTTTATTTTATTTTATTTATTTTATTATTTTTATTTTATTTTCTTAGGTGAGGCAACCCTTGGTTGACCTCACAGATTGCAAGTACCTCGTCAGCTTACAATCCCTTATTTTTTGTCTTTTTATTTTATTATTTATTTTTACGCCTACAGCACCTGGCCTTCCTAGGCGGTCTCCCATCCAAGTACTGACCAGGCCCGACCCTCCTGAGCTTCCGGGATCGGACGGGACCGGGCGTGTTCAGGGTGGCGTGGGCCGCAGACCATTTTTATTTTTCATTTTTGTTCTTCCCCTTCTGTTTTGCATCTTTGGGACATAGAGAAAATGAAAATACCAGTTTCATAAAATCATACAGCCTCGTGGCTTTGAACACGGGCACCGCCCTGGGTTTTCTGGCTTTAAGTGTGTTGAGTTGTTTGCGCCCCTGAGCCGGTAGGCAGAGGGGAGGCCCAGGCGCCCCAAGGGTGGGGTGGGGCTCTTCCTGAGCTCACCAGCCCTGCTTCCCGCTTTTCCTTCAGCATCTCAGATCAGAGGGTCGAGTCCGTCGCCATCAACAGCTCCGGGGACTGGATCGCTTTGGGCTGCTCAGGTCTGTCTTTCCGCTGGGTTGTGGCTGGGTCGTGAGGACGGGTCGGTAGTCCCGCGCTCAGATGCCTGCCTGTGGTCCCACCGCGGCCCCCGGCCCTAGGAGATGGGCGTGAGCGGGGCCATGCGGGCAGGGCACGTCAGTGGGTGGCACACGCGCAGAGGACTGGTCAGTGGGACTCGCAGAACAAAGGCACTCCTGGCGGGCTGCAGCAGGCCACACAGTGGGTCTGCCCTGCCCACAGGTGACTCAGGAGGTTGGCTCTCCTCACTGGGTCCCCTCGCATGGGTGGAAGGCTGTGGCAGGTGCCTGCCTTGGTGGGACGGGCGATCAAGGTAGCAGCATGAGTCAGGGCCACACAAGCCTACCCGGAATCTCGAGCAGTCAGTGCCCCCGGCCTGCAGGGCCAGCCGTCGTGTGTGGTCCCCAGCCCCCCGCCCCGTGTGCTCCGCAGGCCTGGGCCAGCTGCTGGTGTGGGAGTGGCAGAGTGAGTCCTACGTGCTCAAGCAGCAGGGGCACTCCAACAGCATGGTGTCCCTGGCCTACTCCCCCGATGGGCAGTACATCGTGACCGGCGGGGACGACGGCAAGGTGGGGCTGTGCCGCTTTGGGATTGGGCTGGTCAGTGGAGAAGGAGGAGCGTGGCCTGGGTGGGAGGAGCTGTGGGCATCCTATCCTCACCTCCTGGCCGGGGCGCTGGGACACTGTGGCCAGGCCCTGGCTGCAGCCTTCAACCTGGAGCCCTGGCTTCGTCTGGGCTGGTGAATTTAGCTGGGTCTGTGTAGAGAGGGTTCAGGTGTCCGTCCGCTTTTTTGGCTCAGGGTCCTGTGCATCTGCAGTTGCTTAGCTGAGGGGTCTATGGTACTAGCAGCTGCCATCTGATGTGGGTGGGTGCTTGCTGCACTTCCTGGGGTGCCGTAGAGCCCTCCATAACCCTCCAGATGTTTCTCATGGGGTGAGGGAGACGGGCAGACGGCCTCCCCACACCTGGGTACCTACATGGGACCCATGTATGTGGGGGGTCCCTGCCTGGGCCCACCACTCCTCACGCGCCCCCCACCGTAGGTCAAGGTGTGGAATACCCTCAGTGGCTTCTGCTTCATCACTTTTACGGAGCACTCGAGCGGGGTCACCGGTGTGACCTTCACCACCACCGGCTACGTCATCGTGACCTCTTCCATGGATGGGACCGTGCGGGCCTTTGACCTTCACAGGTGACCTTGCGGCTCAGAGTAGGTCGTCCCTCTGCTGTGCTGTGAGAGGCGGGTTGAAGTCCGAGCTTGTTGGGAAGCACGCGGTGGAGGCAGAGGCTCGGGGGTGAAGCCCTAGCACTGGGGCCCCAGGAATGCACGAGGTGGCAGGTGGCAGGGACCAGGGCCGGCGACACCAGCCCAGGACGGCATACCGGAACTTCCGCACCTTCACGTCCCCACGGCCCACCCAGTTCTCCTGCGTGGCAGTGGACTCGAGTGGGGAGATCGTTTCTGCCGGGGCCCAGGACTCCTTCGAGATCTTCATCTGGTCCATGCAGACGGGCCGGCTGCTGGAGGTCAGCCGCTCATCCCAGGCGGCGTGCTCTGAGGGGGCCGGGTGGGTGGGGGCCACACGCCACATGCTGTGAGGGCACCTCCAAATGGCCCAAGGAAGCCAGTGGGGCGGAGGTCACCGCTGGTGCGTGTCTTCTGGCCTGGCCTGCCCACCCCCCCATTCCACGGCCTCGGCTGCTCAGAGGGGCCATGTCTCCACAGCCACAGTCTGCACGTTTGGTCCAGTGCAGGCCGCCCACCGAGGCGCTCACCTCTTAACCCTCCCTGTGAATGGCTGTAGGTCTTGTCCGGTCACGAGGGTCCCATCAGCGGTCTGTGCTTTAGCCCGACGAAGTCGGTCCTGGCCAGCGCCTCCTGGGACCGGACGGTACGTCTGTGGGACATGGTGGACAGCTGGAGAACCACAGAGACGCTGACCCTGACCTCCGACGGTGAGCTGCGTGGCGGATCTGGCCAGCAGGAGCTGTGACCCGGACAGGCCTGGTCTCTGTGCCTGTTCTTCCCCCCAGGACCCCCTGTCGGGTTGGTGGCCCAGGCATGTTCCTTGGTGTCTGGCTGTCCCCCAGGAGGGCAAGCTGGGGCTGGGGCTGCAGCTTCCTGCCACTTTCTACACTTGCCGGTGGGTTCACCGTTGTCCCCGCGAACACTGGGTAAGGGAGGCCCCCCATGGCCAGGCTGGGTGGGCCCCGCTGCCTGGAGTCCCGTGGCCTGTGTTTAAGCTTGCTAGGCGTGGGCGTCCCCTGCATGGCTGCTGTCCCCTGCGGGCAGCGTGGATTGGTCAGAGCCGAGACCGACTGCTGTCTGGTCCCAAACATGTTTGCTGGCCGCGGGACTCGCAGGTGTCTGCGGGGCGCTCCGCTTACCGCCGCCTGGCTTCGGTTTGGGCTCAGTGGCCGGCGCCTCACGTCCTCGTGGGGCCTCTGCACCGACCTCCACCTCCACTTACTCTGTTTCCAGTCTGTCCTGCAGTTTTCTTGGAACGGCCTTTGCCGTGACCTCTGTGTGACTCTTGTCTGCCTGGCCTCGACCGCACCCTGCACCCTCCCACCAGGCTGGTCCTGCTCGGCCCTGCCGTGCCCATCCTGCGGCAGCTGGGGCCTGTCCACATGTGCAGCCACATGTTTCTGAGCTGCGGGTGCTAGGGCCCGGGGCCTCCCTGGAGACCTGGAGCTTCTCGAGGAGAGCCTACACGCCCCCGTCCCCACCCTCCCCTGGACCGGTCCCTCAGGGAGCCAGTGATGAGGGCCAGCAGCACCGTGGTCCAGCTGGTGGAGCCCAGGGCCTTTCTCAGGCCCCGATTCTGCATCTCTTCGCAGCTCTGGCTGTGACCTTCCGCCCCGACGGTGCAGAGCTGGCTGTGGCCACCCTAAACTCGCAGATCACCTTCTGGGACCCTGAGAACGCCGTGCAGACGGGCTCCATCGAGGGCAGGCACGACCTCAAGACGGGCAGGAGGGAGCTGGACAAGATCACCGCCAAGCACTCGGCCAAGGGGAAGTGAGTGCCTCGTCCGTCTACTGCAGGGCTGTGAACATGGGGCGCGGGCGACCTTCTGAGTCGGCCCCCCGAAGCTCAGGAGCCTGCTCAGCAGAGGGCGCTC